CAATCGTTAGCCTATTTTTACAAAAACGGCTTCTACAGGACCATAACGTAAGATACAAAGTAATGGAGCCTTTTATCCATTGTCCCGTTTCTTGAGAAATAAATAATGGACAAATCGAGTCTTTGGACGCCTCAGATGTAAAGTTATTCGCTGTCAAAGTGACGCCAAAATGAATGGGAGTCCATGGGATGCTAACAGTAGGTGATAGCCAGCAACAATGGCGGCCCCCAGAGGAAGCTTCAGTTTCCGGCGGATGGATTACCCCCTTGGGTTTTACAGCCGTTATTTTCTAGTACCGAAGAAAGACGGCGGCATCAGACCCATATTAGACTTAAGGCATCTGAACAAAGCTCTCATGAGACGGCCGTTCAGAATGTTGACTATCAGACAAATGCTCGCGCAAGTTCGCCCAGGGGATTGGTTTTTCACTGTGGATCTGAAAGACGCGTACTTTCACATCCAGATAGCCCCCCATCACAGGCCATTCTTGAGATTCGCCTTCGAAGGGCAGGCTTATCAATACACAGTTCTGCCGTTCGGTCTGTCCCTAGCACCCCGCATATTTATGAAGTGCATGGACGCAGCGCTTTCTCCCCTGAGATACCAGGGAGTGCGCGTGCTGAATTATCTCGACGACTGGCTGGTTCTTGCGCAGTCGCGAGCCGAACTATTGATGCACAGAGATCTGATCCTACGCCATTTGGAATGCCTGGGGCTCAAAATCAATTTATCCAAGAGCAAACCAACCCCCAGCCAGAATGTTATCTTTCTGGGCACAGTTATCGACTCTACAACTATGAGAGCGCGGCTCACACCAGAGCGCGGGCTCTCTATACAACAGCTGACAGCCTCCTTCAAAGCAGGCGCACGCACACCCCTCAGAGAGTTTCAGAAACTTCTCGGCCTCATGGCAGCCGCATCGCCAGTACTCAGTATGGGATTATTGCATATGCGCCCGCTTCAGCACTGGCTCAAACGCCGAGTGCCAGCCTGTGCATGGCGGTCTGGGAGCATTCGCATTACGGGGAATCGCGGTTGTTTACAGACCTTGATTCACTGGCGGGCTCAGGACTGTTACCACGAGGGCGTGGCCATGGGGGTGGCCTCCAGGAGGAAAGTGGTTTTCACACACGCTTCCAACCTAGGTTAGGGAGCACTGCACGAGGGCAAGCCTGTCTCCGGCCTCTAGTCGAGCAAGGAGCAGAGCTTACATATCAATTGTCTGGAAATTAAAGCAGTTTGTTTGGCCCTGAAAGCTTTTCTGTCGAACCTCAAAGGACACCACGTCTTAATCCGCACGAACAACATGTCGGTGGTGGCATATATCAATCGCCAAGGCGGTCTCAGGTCGGGCTACCTGTACTCCATGGCGAGAGACCCCAGGCATTCAGAATCTGGGTGCGGATATGCTTTCTCAAGACAACACTCCCCTAGGCGAGTGGTCTCTAAACCCTCAGACGATTCGTCTGATATGGAGTGTTTTCGGCAAGGCCGAGGTCGACCTTTTTGCCTCGAGAGACAACACTCACTGCGCAGTGTTCTTTTAGAAGAATGCAAGAACATTCCTGGCCCAGTCGTCCCTTGTATGCGTTTCCCCCCGTTTCCATGATCCCCCATTGTCATTAAATGGGTCAGGGAACTGGGAGGCCCAGTCCTCCGAGTGGCCCCCCTCTGTAAAGGGGGTCGCACACCGGACGAGAAGCGCAGCGCCGCGTCGCGCAGCGCCAGGTCTTTAAAATTCGAACACATTATTCTCTATGACTGTACACACACCGGCGGCGCCATTCGGCGTCTGTCCGCGGCGCCCAGCTACGGCTCAGAACCTTGTTCAAAACCCTGCCGCGCCACAGAGCGCCATTTGCATAGTTTTATATTAAATTTACATTTATTTGTCTCAAATCGTCGTTAATGTACATGGCTTCACCCCGTGCTGTTTTCACTCGGGTTAGCTAAACGCTAGCTAAATAAATACTATTGTATTATGTGACATAGTTGCCTAGACAACGGATAACGTTACAACAAAATAACAGACTCAACGTGATAGACACTTCTACTTGATTAACGTTCAAACATCAGCTATTATTCAATGAACATAAAAAAATAATAATAATAAGCAAGATAAAACACACATCGTGCAGCTCTTCTACCAGGAGTTGATTCAAAATTGTGCTCGCGCGATTAGAATGTGCGCGTCCGGTGTGCGATACCTGGAGTTGTCCTAGACGTGGCGCGACGCGGCGCTGCGCTTCTCGTCCGGTGTGCGACCCACTTAAGTCCAGACCGTGGTTTCCAGAGCTGGTTCAGATGGTGGACAAAGTCCCATGGCCAGTCCCACTGAGGAGAGATCTCCTCACACAGGTGAAAGGGACGATCTAGCACCCTCGTCCCGAATTATGGGCCCTACATGTGTGGCCCCTCAAAGGGTACCCAGGGACCTCCCTGTGAAGGTCATGAACACGATTACTGAGGCTAGAGCCCTGTCTACTAGGCGTCTCTATGCCCTGAAATGGTCAGTGTTCTCCGGCTGGTGCTCGATTAGACACTTTGCGAGGTATCAGTGATTCTCTCCTTCCTACAAGAATTGTTAGACGCGGGCCTTTCCCATCCACGCTGAAAGTATACGTGGCAGCCATAGCAGCTTAATCACTTGGAAGAAATTACTTGGTCGTACGGTTCCTTAAGGGGGCCAGGAGGATGAACCCTTCCAGGCCTCCTTCTGTACCATCTTGGGACCTCTCCACAGTCCTTGGGGCCCTGAAGGGTCCTCCATTACACCCAGAGGACCACGGTTGGTTGATCTTTCAGTAGGTTGATCTTAAACCACTTTCGCTAAAGACTGCTCTCCTGCTAGCACTGGCGTCTATCAAGCGAGTGGGAGATCTGCAGGCGCTCTCTGTGAGCCCCTCATGTTTGGAGTTTGGAATAGGTGACTCCAAAGTTACTCTCAAACCCAGACATGGCTATGTCCCTAAGGTGCTCTCAACACCGTTTAGAGCACAGGTTATTACACTATTAGCTCGTCCCCCTTCTGATGAGGATGGGGAGGCTTATCTACTTTTCCCTGTTAGAGCTTTGAAGGTCTATTTGGAGCGCTCTGCGTCTTATAGACAGTCTGAACAGCTGTTTGTCTGCTTCGGTGGCCGATCCAAAGGATCTCCAGTCACGAAGCAGAGGCTGTCCAGATGGATATGGGATGCCATCTCTTTGGCATACGCCTCAGTGGGTCAGGCTGCCCTATAGGCACCAGAGCCCATTTGACTAGAGGTATGGCCTCGTCATGGGCGTGGTCCTCTGGGTTTCCTATTCAGGACATTTGTGCGGCGGCCGGTTGGTCCTCACCCTCCACATTTGTGAGGTTCTATAATATGGAGGTCCCTTCCCTGCAGGCGAAGGTCCTTTCTGTATGATTAGACTCGACGAGGTCCAGTCTCATCTATGTGTCAGGTCACTGTTCATAAGCACGCTATCCCTTGCTACAAGTTTTTTTTTTGGTCCATATATATAATCAGACCCGAGGGTGTCCGGTCTATTAGTATATTATTTTGGGGTACGAGCTTAGTGACATCACTATACATATGATCTAGACCCGACGGTGTCTGGTCTTATCAGTATATATATTTATTTATATGAATTCTGGCTTGTTCCTGTGAGCCACGGGGTCCTGGGCTTCAGTTGCAGCCAGTTACTTATGGTGCGGCGTTTTACATTGCATCCCCACTGCGTATAGCTACGCAATACGAAGTGACCGTTCTCGAAAGGGAACGTACTTGATTACTAACGTAACGATTCCCTGAGAGTAAGGAACGAGTATTGCGTAGCCTGCCGCACTGTAGTAACATGGCAAGTTGTCGCTTCAGTCAATTTAATCCTGCTATAATGGCGAATTAGGGTTCCCTTTATTGGTGCTCTGCGGCGCCTTCGCCATTGGATGTGCAGTTGCTGCAGCACAGCCAATCAGTAAGTCAGTCACTCACTGTGCAGTTGCAATGCGTTTTACATATAAGCTTCAATACATCTGAGGAAAGGAGTTTCCCCACTGTGTATAGCTATGCAATACTCATTCCCTACTCTCAGGGAACCGAGGTTATGTCAGTAACTGAGTACGTTTCTCTTTGTTCAAATAAAAATGAAAAAGTGAGTCAGGGAGAAAGTGGTTGCAGAGCCCCCTTCAGACAATATTACCAAAATGCACCTAATAACAACACCTCTGAAGAACGGAAGAACTCTATTACATAGCCTTGTCTTCAGATTTGACCCTAGAAGACATTGCCTAAATGACTCCAAAACAGTTTAGCATCATAATAACGTAGTGTATTAGCCCAGGGGTGTGCAAACTCGGCCTTGGAGGACCACTGTCCTGCAGAGTTTAGCTCCAGCTTGTCTCAAAAACACACCTGGGTGTAGGAATAGAAAATGGCAGTTTCCTTCTAATAAGACCAAAACAGGAATGTGTGCTTTTTGAAGAAATTGTGAATTTTGCACATAGTATACATAGCACTTTGCACTTATACATAGTACATGGTTACATTGTAACAGTTAGTGTAGAATTAAAATTCAATATTATTCTTGTAACTTAATGTCTTGTACGTTTCAAGAGACCTGTCATACATTCACTTCTTTCAGTCCGAGGTCTTCAGTATTTTCTCTTCATAAGTAAAAATGACTTATTCTTCATCGAGCAGAAACAAAGGTGGACTGGAAAAAATTAATACCAAAGCATGGACCTTTCACATCAACACTGAAGAAAAGAAACACAAAATCTTGTATAAGCTTCATTTCTTGCTGTTGAAAGTGAAAGTGAGGGATGAATCAGACTTATCTTTTGTTGTAACAAACATTATGCCACAAATGCTGTCGATTGAGCTTAACTTGACACATTCCTTCAACATAACCTGCATTCTTTAGTTTCATTATCCGTCAAATTATTTTAAAAATGAAATGCAGACCTGAAATGCTTCGACAAAGAAATGGTTGGCGTAAAGGGAAATCAGATCACTCTCTTTGGCAATAAACATGTTTAATTGTTGTTGTTGTTTTTTTAGTAAGTGCTTGGGCAGTACAGCAAAATCATTTTTAAAATGCTAAAAGGGGCTATAATCAACTAGGTACAGTACATACATCAGCAAAACATATTCTCTCAGGGATCCACCAAGAAGCACAAGACCAACACAGAGAGTTCAAAACAATAATAAAAAGATGGAAAACAAGATATATAATTAACTGTAATAACTAAAAGATTTAGTTCTTTTACAAGACAAAAGAGAACATTAAGCAGGTTAGATATCAACAGTTTCACAATGCTGGATACTCGCACACTGTCATCTTGGCATAAAAAACCCTGAGTAACCTATGAGATCAAGTCACAAAATAAATTATTCAGTCAACTTTGGGATGTGATGTATCTAAAAAAATGGCCTTGAGGATGTGCTCACATAAAACATGTGACTTTCAGGACGTGTAATCATCTGCAGTTCACTCAGAATTCAGTGACCATTGGCAGTGGACTTTCGCCCTATAGTCTTTGACTACTATATATCTAAATTGAGCAATTCCAGCATTATGGATTTTATGTATATTTAAGTACATATAAACAAAATGAAACTACATTGATTAAGCATATAGGTACTTAAAGTAGTGGAGTGCAGGGATTCATTTTTTTAAATTATGATCTTCAAGTGAAAGATAAAAATGTTAGACATCCATATTGTAAAGTAGCCGGATATGATTAAACACAACTTCTTGATCCCTGCAAGGTATAATCGATATATTAGTTGGTAGCTAGCTAGCAACAGTCCACACATTTCCATAAATAAGTGCATAAACATGCTGTTTTGTTCAAAAAGTAAATAAATAGATATGCTGTTTATTAAAAAAACACACAAAAAAAACAAGGTTATGCCCATGACACAGAACACTTCAAAATTGAGTAAAGAATCTATTTGTTAAATACAAACAACCTTGACAAAGGTTATATGTGCACAGGAAGTTATAATACAATCCCATTTATTTCAATTCAGGCTTAAAATTTTATCAGTCTGAATGTGAAGACACAATGCTTGCAAGTTAAATAAAAATGCAAGATTGAAACCTGTGTAAGTCAACTTTTTTTTGGCTATGCAGCAGCATGTCTGAAGTCATTATGTCTTTTTGTTTCACATTTACATATGCACACACATACAACAGTTCTTTCCGAGAGTCTTTTTCAGCCATGCAATATTCCCCCAGTATCAGCACTGGAACAGTTTCATCATTTTAAATACATTCTCGGCTAAAAAACTCTTAAAACTACATTCCATGACACAATAACCGTAATATTTGTAAAATGATGGTGGTTTGCTCATCCGACATGACTCTCTGTGAAAAATGTTGCAAATGGAGTTATACAAATGGTGAAATGGTTCGAATGCTGATACTGGGGAAATATCACACAGCTGGAAAAGGCTCTCAGCCAATCAGATTCGAGAATCAGAACGAACAGTTGTATAAATATATATATATTATTCTGAGGCTGCCTGTAATGTGGAATTGCCCAATTTATCTATACTGTTTGTTGTATTATAGCAAGTGAATTTTAAAGCAATCAAATTCTGCTGGATAAAAAAACCCAACTAATTTTCCAATGTACTGCATCATCATGTTGTTTTGTTAGACTGTGTGCTCAGCAGAGACTGTATGCAGCACTACAGAGCTGATGGGGTTTGACAGTGGCAGGAGTGAGCGCTTCAAACTACTGTTGTTTGCACTCTGCAGGCTGAGGATCCACGGGCTGGAAAAGAGAAAAAAGATAGGGCTGGAGAAGGAGAGAGACTTTTTTATTCAATAACTTAATACTGTATCTGCAACTTGAGGCAGGAAAAGTGCAGAAGAGAAAGGGAGATATATCTTCATCACAGAAGAGTGGCTAATGAAAGCACATTTACACTGACACATCTCTCTAGGCATCTGTAGGATCAACAATGTGAATACAGTCATTAATTAAGATAAAAGTGTGAGGGAATCTAAAGTGAATCACCACTCTTTTGTACTGCAGATACATCACTATCACTAAATGGGAGAAAGCGTGTTTCACCACAGCCTGATCCACCGAAAGAAAATGGTTGTTTGAAGCAGTTGTTTTGCATGAAGGGGTCATATTACAATGAATCAAATCTCTCTTCAACTTAAAAAAAAAAAAAGAAGGTTAATTTATTAAGAAAAAAATCCATAACTTCCTCTCCTGTGCAAAGAGACCACTAATAAACTGCTAAAACTCTTCATTCTGTTTACACAGTATTAAATTGGCCCATCCAGTCATGGTGAAGTGACTGAAATGGTCAAGAAAACAGTTTGAGGGGAAAAAACAAAACAAAAATACAATTTGACTAACATTATAATTGGCCCTAGAGAAAAATAAACATACTAAAATGAATTTGAAATACATTTATTTTATGCTAAGTATACTACAAATACATTTACATATTTATGTACTTAATATAAATAACCCTACAATTATACTTTCGGTATACTAAATTTATATACTTAAAGTCTGCTAAATTGGAACAACTAATTTTGCACTTAATGCACTTTAGTTATCCAGAAATATTGCTGAGGTCCAACTAAAGATATACTGAAGTATATTTGATTGTGCTAAAGTGGAACTATTGCAAGTATACTTAAATATCTTGTATTTAAAGACTGATCAGAGATCATACTATCCTTACTAATACTAATAGTGACATTAAACACATTTTAGGCTTAATATTAAGAAATGTGCATTGTGCAATAAAGAAGTACTCCAAATAAAGTTTAATTATAATATTTATATCAGTAAGTCTCAAGCGATATGTCAGTAAATATGTTAATGGCTTTGTAGTATAGCTAATATGAAATTGATGTATTTTAAAATACATTTTGGTATAGTTTTTTTTACTAGGGGACCATTGCTTTGGACCATAATGACCAAAGAATGTACACTACTGTTCAAGATAATGTTAAGCTAATGTTTTTAAAAAGTCTATTATGCTCGCCAAGGCTGCATTTATTTGGTCAAACATACAGTAAAAACAGTAATATTGTGAAACACTCCAGTCTCCAGTGTCACATGATCAAAGTCTCTTTCAGACAAGTCTCTTTCAGACAAGTCATTTCAGTCATGCAAGTGCAGCTCATATCTATTTGAATGGGGAAACATCAAATTCTCCAAAGCTGTTCACCAAGCTTACAATTAAATTTCATATTTGAAATCACCAAAGAAATCGGACAACAACTGTCTCATAAATTTGGCTTCTAAACGCTCAAATCATGACAAAAACGGCATTTTTCAGGCATGTGCAGGAACCGGAGCTTCTAAAGGCAGCTGCAGTGATGCAATGTCTTTACCAACTGGCTCTTTCATTTAGAAGGTGGGAATTATTCCGGCATATTGTGCGTTGTACTTTCTCCCATTCATAGTAATACGAGTGCACCGGCTTTCTACATAGGGGTGTGACGGTTCGACTTCAAGCCGAATCTGCCCGAGCATGCACGTCTCACCGCACCGGCACGCAGTTTGCGCGTCTAAATTGCAAAGTTCATTCCAAAGTTTTTTCGTTAAGGTTTTGTTACTGTGTGTGACTTATTTAAAAAAAAAAGCACGTTCATTGCAACGTTTGTTTGTTTTGTTAGTTAAGGATTTGTTTACTGTGTGATACATTTAATGGAAAGCACATTCACTTCTAGTTGTCTTGCTGTTCATGTTAAATAAACGTAGAGCCAGTAGCTAATCAGTGTCTGCTTGTTTATTCAAACTAAGTTGTCCTATAACAGACGAACAGTTATTCAACCCCCCCCCCGACGACGGTTATGTTATGAACCGTCACATTTGACTCACATCATAACCGTCATCACCAATTCTGAAACCGGCACACCCCTATTTCTACATCTACATTCTTTGACCTGATCCTTTAGAAATCATTCTAATATACTGATTTGGTGCTTAAGAAAAACAATACTTAATCCTAATCTTTTGAACAGTAGTGTATGATATTATCCCTTTAATATAAGACATAAAAGAAGAAACCCCAATACTGAAACACTCCAGGATCAGGGTCTAAAATCAGTGCTTTTTGCTTGAATAAATGGATGTTATAGCAATAGTAAGTTATAGCAAAATATTATGTATTCAAAAAAGAATACCATATATCTGAGCTGGAAAAGTTCTTGACCTACTAAAAACCATCAATAATTATTCAGCAAGATTGTGGGGGAAAAAAGACTACAGGGTATACATAGAGCAAAATGGATGGAAGGACATTGCCCCAAATTCTCTAATACAGCAGTCGTGATTCTGTCCTCTTCTCTGTTCTTTTACAGTCATGTACTGAGATTTTGGGCAAGGCCTTAATAATATGATATGAAATTAATGGTTCAATACAATGTTACAGGGTTGCTATGGGCATGGGATAGCAGACGTAAGGAGAGGGATGAGGCCGAGGGGGATGTCAAGGCAAAGGTTAGAATGACTCATGACATTTCTTTCTTACCTAGAAATGTATGAGGTGAGAATGACTTATGCCTGTCACTAGGGCAGAACAGGAGGTAGAAAACAACCCCAATCAGCATTAATCATCAAACATGCAAATACACCACAAACATTCATCCAAAGAAAAAACAGAACAGAAAATTAAGTTACAGAGAGTGAGGTCTGCTAAACAAAGAGACAATGCAGTAATTCCTTTTCAAATTCAAGTCATTCAGATCAAGTTATAATCTAAATCCAAACTCACCTTGGAATCTCCCTCCTCTTCATCGTCCTCATCCTCCTCATCTTGGTCCTATTTCACACAAAACACACTTACCCTACACAATTGCAACTTAATATCAAATAAAACGTCACTTATTACATTGTGAAGTTTTATAAAACACGGATTGCTCCATTTATCTTTAATACTATGTATATGGTGAACTCACCTCCTCTTCACCCTCATCCAGTTCCTCCTCCTCAAACTGACACAAACACATAAATGAATGTATATTACAAATGAATGCACACTGGAACTATTCTGAGGAACCATAGACATTGTAAGACAAAAACAGTCGTTTGAAAATACGTACACTTTCGTCATCCTCCAGAGCTTCTCCTGTGAAGTACAAAACTGCTCTCGGAATGATTCTTTCCCTGAAGAAATGACCAATTTCAAAATCTGTGGCTAAGGTGAACTCTGAATCCTCATCCTGTTGAACACAAAGGAATTATATGAACTTCTCTGATCATTTGAAGATGAAAAATTAAGTCTGATTATATATAGATCTCTGAAATGATTCTCTAAACTTTCCAAGTAAACTAATCACTCGTGTCTATCAGAAGGCGTGATGGTGGATAAGGCAGGCAAAATTATATTTTATTGTCAATAAAAATCCTCAAATTACATATAATTGGTCTCATACAAACTAAATGCCTAGATAAAACTAAACAGGATGAGCTAAAACCAAAAAGGATAAAGTAACAAAATACTTACCAACTCTTTATCTGGTGAAACTAAAACAGAAAAAAATATTGGTGACTTCATGTGATAGCAAAAAGTAAACCTGCAGTATGTTAAACATCTGAATGACAGAATAGAAATATTCATCTGATAATTACTTAATACAAAACTCCAGCTCATTGGTACAACGTGTACAATCACAATTTAAGAGGGCTTAAATACAGTAGTTTGTAAACAACACTATAGCTATAAATAATGTTAATTCAAAATAAAGTCTTTTTGATAAAAATGGGATATAACAAGGAACCTAAAGAAACAGTGACACCTAAACTAAACTCAGTTAAAGAACCATGTTGAGACTTATCGTGACATCACACAATGTCGATCATATTCACTTCCTCTGCTTTTAGGCCGTGTGTCCACCAAAGCGGGGTTTTTTTCCGCGGCTAGCATATTTTTTCAATTGTTTTCAAATAGGAGCGCCACGTTTTTAAAACGCCAGGAGCGTAAAGCCGCGGTCACACTAGACTTTGAGCATGCAAAATGTCTTCAGACACTGCAAAGGTCGTGATTTGACGTCACACTCTGCAGCGTCTTTTTTATACTGTAAACATGAATTCAACATATAACGAAATGTAAGATATATACAATCTACTCGACTTTACTGAAAAAATATTCTTTTAATTCAGCCAAGAGGTCACGCCGTGACGTATCGGTCTTTTACAGTCTTTTACTGGTCACACGTCTTCACGTGATGTGAATTCGCAGGTCAGAGTTCACCAAACTTGAACTTTGGAACGTAGCGAAATCCTATACTTTTTCGCATGAGCTTGAGTTTCCGGTCTGACGCATTTGTATGCGTTTGAATGGAAGTCAATTGAAAGAAAAGTGCAGCGTGGACACGCTTTGGTGGGGGAAAAAAACTCTTTGGTGGACACGCGGCCTTAGTCCTCGTGGACCGGAAGTAGCAACTGATTTTTCTTCAGTGCTGTGACATATTTCCAAGTGAAACGGAATATTGAATAGAGGGCAGGGTTTTACTTCAGCGCACCAGACTGGAAGTAACTTTTCAGATATTTATTAAAGATTACCATGACAAACTATTTTTTTCTGTGTATTAACTTGCATGGTTTAATTGTACACTATAAAACCAGTAATGTGTGCTAGCAAAGTAAATAGGGTCAATTTTGATTTCATGAGGACTTTAAGCCTGGTTTATACTCCCCACTTCCACACAAGCGCAAAGATGCGCATGGAAAAATGACGTCATAGCAGTGTAAGCGGTCGTGCACGTTGAGTGCGCAAGAGACGAGACCCCATTTCGCCCCATTCCGCAAAGAAACTTGTTCAAACTCCATCAGGTGCTTTTTTAAATTAAAGATGGGAAAACATTGAATACGTCAGTATAAGGTATAATGAAGAAGTAGTGTAGTGATGGAGACACTGATTCTGAGGCAGATCTCTCTCTGGCCCGGATTACACCTGATAATAAGATGCGTTTTGATCGATCGAAATTGGACCAATCCAAATACAGGTGTAAACTGGATCTAAAACGTTTTGAGCTTGTCTACTTTCGAACAGTTCCAGAGGTAGTTGAAAATGCATTCAACCAGATTGCTTTCGTAGTGTAAACGCTCATGTGGTCGAAAGCGTTCAAACAACCACAAAAGTCCGCCTTCTCTACGCCTGCTGACCTAATGAGTAAACATTATGGGTAGCGAGCTAGCCAGACGGGAGACCCAAGTTTGGTTTGAAAATGAAAAACGTACCAAGCACAATGTTATCTCACTATTCCTAATTTCTAACACGGCATTCAGCGTGGTCTTGCGGCTGTCAGAGCAGAAACGAAAGCTGCTGCTCTCTGTGTTTTCTCTCATCATCTCCGGTCGCGTTTATATGTAAATAAGCTTATTACGTTCATTAGATCGAAAGATCTGAAAAGGTCCATACTTTTACCTGCCCATAGACCCTCCCCTCGAAGAAATCAGGACAGAAATGGTTGAAAGTGGACAAAAGAGACGGATGAAAATACCAGGTGTGAACAGATATGTCTCCCTCATCTACTTGTGATCCGATTGACCAAAACGCATCTTATAACAGGTGTAAACAGTACCTTTGAGGCCCCTTTTGAGTCCAAGGTTTTTTAAAGTAAAGTACTCTTTATTTTTATTGTATGTAAAGTTAATTTTGTTGTATATAAAGTTTATTAGTTAAATTAGAATTCATTTATTAGAATTCGTTGCTTAAAGTTGTTTTGTATACTATATAGTTTGATGAAAAATAAAACCCAAAAGATAAAGATTTTTTGTGGCATTCATCAGTGTCTTCACAATTACATACAATCACTAGAGTAAACTGACGGTGACAGACCGTGATTAACCTCATACTTTTGTCTCTATTTAAAGCAGAAGGAACTAGATTAAATACTTTGAATGATAACAATCCACAATCTGACTTGTGATTCCAGTGATCTCTGGAATCATAATCACACACTATGATTGTTCGTTGGCCACAGGAAAACTGGCCCCTCGACTGAGCCTAGTTTCTCCCAAGGATTTTTTCTCCATTCTTTCACCTGATGGAGTTTGGGTTCCTTGTCACAGTCGCCTCTAGCTTATTTAGTTGAGGGACACTTAATATTAAACGATATTGATCTGACTGCACTGACGCTATTTGATGAGAACTAAACTGAGATGCACATTGACTTCACTATTTTCTGCAGAGCTGCTTTATAGCTGAATTTAACTAATTTAAAAATTGATGATTTTGAATCAACACTGAACTGACTTTTATCAGAAAAATTACACTTTTTTTCTTTTTAGAGTTACTGTATAGTCGAAATGAACTCAGTTTGCATCATTGAATTATTATTTTCAGTTTGTCCCTGTAAAGCTGCTTTGAAACAATCTGTATTGAATAAAGCACTATACAAATAAAGATGATTTGGCATAAAAAAAAAATCAATCACCTAATTTTATAAATGTGACCAATTACATTTGCATTAAGCGCTCCAAGTAAATTTTTTTTATTAAATTCTTACATTTACAAAATGAGTACAATAGCAGAAATAGGCCTTTTTAATGAAAGTAAAGATCCATGTTTAATAAAAATAATGAATGAAAATAGAAAAAGAGTTAAGATTGGTGTTTAATTTAGTTTTATACATATATTATATCCATATATTTTGCTCTAATGTCACAAGTAATAATCTCAAGGTTTACTGGGTTTTACATGATTTTTTGGTAGTGTGGGTTTGGTGAAGTGTACTAAAAACAAACATTTTCATGTGTGGCTTCCGAACTGACCCACAACCTAATCAGTTTGCATGTAAAGTTAATTAATTAATTCAGCAACTCCACGTGAGATGCCATGCTTTTGGTGTTGTTCCAGCATACTACTTCTTACTGCTGCTTTCTAATGGTTTAAAGGACAATTACTCCGAGTTCCCCCCTGTCGTTTCAAAGATTAGTTAAGTATAAACGGCTTGTCTGTTTTTGGAGGGGCGCGCGCAGTCAGCAGAGGCAGGCAAAAGTATAAACAAGAATGCATTAATACAGTGCAGTACACCTTACACCTTAATGATTTCCCAAAGTATTCAACCTACCAGTCTCATAAAAGTTCACATGCACAACTGTTATATTGTGTACCTTTAATAGGGTTGAAAAAGTTGAAAAAAGAGTCATTGGGCACTTGTTTGGTGATGACCCTCGCTGTCCCTCTGCCTTTGTGCTTCTGCTTCTTCTTGATTGTTTTAACCGTCACATCTTTGCCTTTGTGCCAATCAATTTCACACCTGCCGGAAAGGAGAGATGAATAATGAAACAGGGTGAAAGTCTGTTGACGATCTGAGCAGGTCTTTCTGATTAACTGCTCACCCCTCACAGTCCATGATTTCTGGTCCCTCGAACGAAAAGGTATCCTCTGCGTCTGGCTCCGATTTCATTTTGTATACTTTTGTGAGGACTGTGTTGGTAAAGTATTCATTGGGTTCAAAATGGAACTCTAATGTGAAGCTCTGTAAAATACAGCATTAATAATAATAAAAAAATATAGTATAGTATAATACATTTTAAATGATCTGATTTGTCCAGCAGTTATTAATATGACAATATTTTATAGTATGATAAAACACACACACACACACACGGTTCAATCTAAAATAATCATAACCCCTTAAATTATTGTCCTTACCATAGGCTGATCAGGACCAGAAAATATCACTTTAATATCTTGAAGATGTTTAAGTATTGGTTCGTCATGCTCCTGTTGAGAAAGAGCACAAGCTTTCTTTTAATTTCAAATGTGCTGCGAAAAAATGTGGTGTTTGAATATTACCATGTCTTTTTCATGACACTGTATTCATAATTATTTTAAGAAATATGTAATATAAATGTATTCATAATATGAAGTTGTATATCGTCTGTACAATGTTACAGGGCGAAAACAAACATTAAATAATCATTAATAAGAATAGAATAGAGACTTCAGAGGAAAAGGTTTCTGCTGATGGTTCACCTGCAGCATATCGCTCAACATGTCCACGCTCCGGAATATGGTGAGCCAGAACTCTGGAATTCCCTTGGGCTTTTCCTCATTAGCATCTTCTGTCTTTTCCCCTATAGCAGCTTTCTTCTTCAGATCTTCCTGAAAAAGAAAAGTTTGCATTGGGGTACTGCTCTTCTGTCAGCATCAGATCTGATTTCAATGCGAGTGGTCAGATAATACTCACTGCTAATGCTGCTTCATCCTCATGGTCACTCTGCCATTCACACTCCTCATCAGTGGGTTCCACTTCTCCAGACACAAATTTTCTTCTCTAGAAATTTAGAAAATCTCACTTGAGAGAGAACATCATACCAATACCATGCAGACATATTAAAAGGAAAGTTTGGATTCAGCTCAAAAGATTTTCTGTGCTTCAGAGCCATTCTGAAACCTACAGGACACTGAGGAAGAATGTTCTGCAATAGCAGGCCAACGATCAGAGATATTTATTCTATAATTGGTTTTCTGTCGTACACAAAAAAAATATTTAAATATATTATAACACATAATGTATTACAATTAAAGAATAATACATATTATATATACACATGTACTATGTGCATGTATATAATTTATGTATACAGTTATATAAAAAAAAAGAAAGGACACCCTTTTGAATTCTATGGTTTTATGTAACGGGGCATAAAAAAAAAAAAAAACATCTGGTCTTTAGCAGGTCTTAAAATTAGGTAAATGCAACATCAGATGAACAACACACGGTATATTACACCACCATGTCATCATTTATTTAACAAAAATAAAGCCAAAATCGAGAAGCCATGCGTGACAAACTAAGTGCACCCTATGATTGAATTACCTGTAGAGCCACCTTTAGCAGCAATAACTTGAAGTAATCATTTTCTATATGTCTTTTATCAGTCTCATATCGTTCTGGAGGAATTTTGGCCCACTATTCTTTACAACGTTCCACCATTTCTTTGAGGTTTGTGGGCATTTGTTTATGTCATGGCACAGCATTTCCATCGGGTTGAGGTCTGGACATTGACTGGGCCAGCGCAACACCTGGACTCTTTGCTTTTTCAACCATTCTGTTGTAGATTTGCTGGTGTGTTTGGGATCATTGACCTGTTGCATGGCCCAATTTCAGCCAAGCTTTAGCTGTCAGACAGATGGGCTCACATTTGACTCAAGAATCCTTAGGTATACAAAGGAGTTCATGGTCGACTTAATGAAGTGGCCGGTGCATTTTTGCCAAACATCTCCACTTTGGTCTCGTCTGTCTAAAGGACATTGTTCCAGAAGTCTTGTGGTTTGTTCAGATAAACTTTGCAAACCTAAGCCATGCTGCCATGTTCTTTTTTATAGAGAAGAAGCTTTCTCCTGGCAACCCTTCCAAACATGCCATTACTTGTTCAGTCTTTTTCTAATTGTACTGCCATGAACTTCAACATTTAACATGTTAACTAAGGCCTGTAGAGTCTGAGGTTTAGTTCTTGAGTGTTTTGCGATTTCTCTGATCATTGCACAGTCTGACCCTGGGGTGAATTTGCTGGGATGCCCACTTGAAAATGTTGGGAAATGGCCTTGTAACACTTCCTAGATTGATGGAGAGCAACAATTGCTTCTCTAAGATCATTGCTGCTACTATCTTTCCTACTTGACATTGTTTTAACACACACCTGAATGCTCCAGATCAGCAAACTGCCCAAACTTCTGCTTTTATAGAGTTGGTCACGCTTGCTGATGATCAATTAATCAAAGGCATTTGATTAGCAATGCCTGACTGTTACTTACCCTCTTAATTCCTATGGAAGCAGTAAGGGGGTACTTAGTTTGTCACCCATGGCGTCTCCATTTTAGCCTAGTTTTTGTTAAATAAACAATGACACAGTATAATAAAGTCATTGTTTTTGTTCATTTGTGATTGTATTTTACCTGATTTTTTATTATGTTCTTATACGTAAAACCATAAAATTCAAAAGTGTACTTTCTTTTTCCCATGACTGAGATATATATGGTATGTATATTCACTATCGTTCTCTTATGCCCACCAAGGCAGTACTCATTTTATAAAAATACAGTAAAAACATTATTATTGTGAAATATATATAATAAAAAAAAGTGTATACACACACAAACACACAAACTCACTTTGTCAAATAATGGCTGATAAAGAGCGCTATACTTTCTCTCCAGCTCATGCACCTCCTTGTAAAACTTGGCTTCGATGTGTGTGCTGTTAACCTGAAGATTCTTTAAGGCATTGACTCTTCTTTTCACAGACTTTGGTAAGCTGGACAGACGTTTATAGAGGAAGAGAAGACAGACATTATGTGAGCAGATGGGTGTCCGATAATGCACAGCTGGACTGGTGCATTTCCCTGCTCTCTGGGGTCAACAGATTGGTTTAAAGTAAGAGCATCAGATACAAGATCCCTGTTCAAATCACATCACAAACTTCTGAGAACTCAAGTAATGCGCTTCATGTAAACAGCAAAGATAAGGTTTGTGCTGCAATTGCTGAATCTGTTTTAGTCTAAGTTGACTGCTTGACCCAACAGCACCCTTTCCACAAGCTTTATGTTTGGTCTTGCAGTGTTGACGCACAAATTAATTATTGCTGTTTTGTGGAAATACTGTTGTCTGTGTCATCGTTTTCATGACCACTACAACTACAGCCAAATTCAGGAAGTGAAATTAGCATTCATGGGTGTGAGACCTCTCTCTGGGCATCCTCAATCTGACACAAATACACATACATGTATACACACACACCATTAGGACTGACTTCTGTGTGATAACTATACAAGCAGAGACAGATTTTAGGTTGCAGGCAGATGGCCTGACTAGAGTGTTCCCCCTTATACAGACGGTTATATTACACTTCCAGGGCTGTCTCTCTATGTAACATTAGAAACAATGAAAATGCAACGTGCAGTTTTAAAATTCCACGCAGGAAATATGAGACACATCCAGTCGGGGAAATAGTTTTCTTAAGATAGGAAACAATAAAAACAGGATACCATGACAAAGAATAAAGTCCTGTTAGTCTCTCTTTGGTTCCAAGTTATTAGTTTGGTTCGTATGAAACAGCCATAGTGTTTCAACTTCCGTGTCTTGCTTACCTGTCCATGATGGAAGCACTATGTGAGACACTGTCTATTTTGTCCTGAAGAGCTGCCAATGCCTGTGGGTTCTGCATCACCTGGTCACACATCTTACCTGAAAATAACATGCCATCACCAGCATTTAAAATGAATGCACTAAATCATTATTCATCAGTCAAATGTCTCAAAGTCAAAGCATGTTTATACTACACATATTCCTTTCCAGAAACAAACATCCACTTTAAATGAAGCAAAAAAACATGTTCAGCACAGTGAAACACACCACTATTGTTTCATATATTTTATTTTTTATATTTTAATATTGCTCTCAGTAGGTTTGCAAGACTTCTTAAGAGATCCTACAAAATCTTTTCCATTAAATCATTGGCAACAGTGATGTGCAGAAGCTTCATGAAACTTTTACACTGAAACTTACTTTATACTGGATTTTGTCTGAGCAGCACCATGAATCAGTAACACACATTAAAAACATTTTCTCTGCCAACTCATAAATGTATCAGTATTTTCAAAAAAATAAAATAAACAGAATATACAAGGTATATCTCATCTAAAAAAAATTTTGTGAGCTTGATAAAAATCAAAGACAATACCAGGAATTCCTAGTTCCTTTACCTTTGGGTTCCTTGTCAGCATCCATCTTGCTACCACAGCTCAAATATTCTATGAAAAACACAAAAACATACAACTTCAGCTAGTCTAAAAGTACATTTTTGGCTATTAGTTAAGACGAAAGTACATATTTTAATTAACTAGACTTAACATTTAGAACTAATATTTATATAATTTTTTTTTAATTAAAAACAGCTGATGCTGGGAAATGCACAACCAAAACAGTGTAATGAACCTAAATGGCCCTCAATACAGAGTCAGAAGTTAATTATTTTTTAACCATGAAAACCAATGCAGTATCCATTTGTGTAAAATATTTCACTGCTTTCATCATGGACAGGAACTCGAATCTATTATTTAAAAACAAATTAAAACTTCAAGCTACACATGATTTAACAACCCCAAATTTGCCATGGTAATTCCATAGTTACTGTTGTATCATTATTATATGATAAAGTTATTTTAACTAAAATAAAAAAAATAACTTGGTTTTAGAAGCCAATTTTTTTTATTATGACTACTATTAAAAATAATAACATACTCTTGATAACAATTATAAAAAGTATTATAATTAACTAAATATTTTGGAAACGTCTTAGCTTGAAAAATAACATTTATTCTGTTTTTATTATAATTGTATTAATTTGGTGGAAACTTTGCCTAGCATAGAATATGCTGGTAAGAGAAAGCTAAATATTCCTTGTTTCAAATAAACGTTTAAATTGCTTATGTTAGCATGCCATGTAGCAAAACTGCAAATATCAAAATCAACATCTCAAAGTAAAGGTACAAGCAGATGTGTCATGTTGACGCCCATCAGAGATAACTTACACACTCACGCTAGCAGCTAACACGCTAAACTAGCCACATCCAGACAATAACAAATCAGAACAGATCTCATAATCTCCACAAACAACGAGGTTAGCACATGTAAATGGAGGGGGTCATAACAGGGCCAGAGGGCGGACACTGGACGATCTCCAAACGAACACTGTAGACGGGTCACGGCTGAAGTCTAAATGTCACAGGTTAGCAGGCTAACAGACCCTCACAAAAACACATTCAGGGTCTGAGCTTTGACTATCTCTGCCGCGTTTAACAGGTTACTGGATCATTGTTTGCTAACTGACTTATATTGAAGCTGTAACAATTCATAATAGTCACTCGTAACTTTATCAAAACAAAGATGGCATGCAGTGAGAGGCGAGCACAAGCAGCACACTAATATAAGACATTTACAACCACGAAAATATCACCCAATCTGCTTTACATAAACTGGACATGCATAATATATCATGTATTTTAAAGTAAAATGCCTCATTTTGTTGAAACATTTATTTGTTTTAGGGAGATTGCTGTTCTTACCTGAATCAGCGGGTGTTGTTCGGCTGATGGACTCGGCACTCGGCAGTAAAGCTGAAGCGCATTGGCTGGCCAGTAGTAACGTTACTCCGCTTCAGCGACAGTGATGTGTTGGACCATAGACTTGAACCGGTTCTTTGAAATGTATTGTTCGATAGAACCGATTCGCTGAAATAAATCGGATTTCGTTTCGGCGATTATCAGGGAGTAGCATATTACATGCTCTAAAACATTCAAATAAAGCGGTTTATTGTAATTTAACGCATCTTAATTTAATTTGTTGCAGCCATGAATATACACAAAATAAAGTAACTTAGAACCTAAATATAATTTGCATTTACAATAAACAATACCAACATTAATCTCAAATTTTTTTTTTTTTTTTTGTGCATGTTTTAATACATTTCTAGCACGTTTAATTTGTAACATTTCTGCTATTAGGGTATTCAAGTTCCCATTCCAAGTGCCGATTCTCGGCTCATTAAGAATCTGACATTACGATTTTTCAGAATCATGCAGTCAGTATTGATTCGGTTCACTCTACAATTCATGAAATAATCATTCAGTTCGATTTGTGAACTGCTTCAATCTATTCATTAAAAACATCCCACTAAAAAAATCGTTAACAAATTCAATTTCACTAATCACAAGCTTCTTGTGCATAGACAGCATTGATGTTTTATACTGAAATTACCCTTATTCTAATTACATTTTATGCCTACAACATTAGGTAAGAAGTTCACTAGGTTTGGCAGCTCTGTGCATGTTTTTTGACTGTAAACTAAATTTAAAAAAAAGTCTTTATGGAAAAAATATATAGAAATAAGTTATTGGAGACAAATAAGCATATCCTTTTTTTTATTTTGGCATTTCATGTTCCTATAAAGACTATGTAACTACTAACAATAACTGGTGCTCCTATGTATGTCTCTGTTTTTTCATTTGTGGTAAACCTACAAACCTGAAGTCCCTTATTCCTGTATTATCAGAGATATTTTGATTCTGGATGAATCATTTTTATCACTAGCTGATTGTAAACCGTGTTTCAGAGAAAACACCTACTTGATCAGCCAGATTTAAAAAATCCATAATGAAAACATTAAATGTTTGATCCATTTCCACATTAACAAGCTAAATAGTTCTTGCATACTTCATATAAACCGCCAAACCCACATTAGAAAAATTCTGATATACTTGCATCTTTGTTCTACATGTGCAAAAAGCACACAATTTTAAGTATACACCCTTAATATCGTAGTCATAAAATACCTCTCAAAGTCATGTTTGCAGAGCATCAGGATAACAAAAATCCTCCAACCATGACAAGAAGGATTTGGCAAACCTTGCCAAAGTTTAGAGCCAAAACTCACAGATGAGGTCTTGAGTTTTGCTGCCTTTTCACAAACAAAAGACAAGTTCACAACAGACACTATGGGCGGATCGCAGGTTGCATCAGACTCAATGCCTCATGTTCTCAGCTCCCATTCTGAGTCAACTGAAGGTATTCATTATACAGCTTCTCCTGAGCCTCGTAAAGCTTGCGAAGCTTTTTGGTCAGTCCCTTACTGAGCTCCTTCCCCTCAGCATCATGTGTTGGGAAACCCTGTACATACAAAGAACAGACGTACTATTAGCATTTCTGAATAGATGTAACCAAATTATTAAAAATTCATCCATCCCCTATAGACTAATAGTCACCTTGAAATAGATCTAACATACAGCAGTGTGACATAAACGAGTGGATCTTAAGACAAAAGAAGACTGAATGGTTTGCATTACCGTTTCATCAAAGCTGGAGTACTTGTCAGTCTCTGAACGGAACATTTCATTGGGTTTAACCTTCATTTTTGCCAACTTTGCCATCTATCACAAAACAATATACAAATCATTAAAAACAATGGAGGACTAACGGGAACATAATTTCTTAAATATAAACATATTTAACAATAGACATGAGGGGCTTTCTACATGACGGGTGACTAAATTATGGAGTGTTGCAGGTGGTTTCTGTAATCGCTCTAATCACCTCTTGTTCTTGTTTTTTCCTGGCAGCCTCCTCTTTTTTCTTTTTCTTTTCATCTTCCATCTTGAAACATAAAACAATATAAGTATTATGCAGGACAGTAATATTAACGTCAAATAAATGAACCAAATTAACAAAACAAAGTAATATCTTTTAATATAACTTTTAAAAACGGACTAATATACACACACATATATATATATCCTGAAAATAATGCATCACGGTTTCTGCAAAAGTGTAAAGCAGCAAAACTGTTTTCAACATAATAATAATAATAAGAAGAAATGTTTCTTGACCACCAAATCAGCATATTATAATGATTGCAGAAGGATCACGTGACACTGAAAACAGCTGAAGAATTATCTTTGACACCACAGGAATGAGTTATAGAAATATACATAAAACAGTTACACACACATCTCTATATATATATATACGCATGCACGCACACACACAAAAAGTGTGTATATATTATATGTGTATGCGTGTGTATATATATATATATGTGTGTGTGTATATTATATATATATATAAAACAGTTATACACACACATATCTATATATATACACACACACACACACACACACACACGCACGCGTATATATACATACATATATATATATATATATATATATATATATATATATATATATATATATATATATATATATATATATAAACACACACACATTTTATTATTTTATTGTTTATCAATGACCATCTCAGGTGGATCATGATGGATCAGCAGAACGTGTCCAAAGCTGTAAGCATGCATACAAGGTTCAAAGGAGTAATTCAAAGAAGGTACAACAATTAACCTGTGCAACTTGAGTCCTTATAATACATTCAGAAGGCGAGCATTTACACTCACAAGCTTGAAAGACCTAAATACATTTTTCATGACCTGGTTTGCATCCGATTAATTTCTTTTGTGATGCTTGAGATGGAAAGAAACTTCTTTCCATTGACAGAAAAGAACACACCACCTTACCCTGGTGGTGAGATAACTTTGATCTGATTAATGGCTATTTTTTAACGTAATAAGGTGTACTACAAACAGTACATCACTGGCAGTACTGTATGTAAAATGGGATACAAAATCTACACCACTGAAATAGTAAATATCAAGTAGAGAGTTCATAGTACATGGCCATATAGACGGATTCTGTCATTACCTTTTTCTTCTCTTCTCTTTCCTTCAGAAGAGTTTCTTTGTCCACCAACTTCACCGATGTGGGGAGTCCTTTGAGGAGAAAAAAAAAACTTGCAGTTTTCCATGACATTCAGAGTTTAAGCTAATCTCTATTTCTTTACTTTACCATCACGATCCTCCAGTCGGACACCCAGCTCAGGTAAAGTGTCATCACGCAATTCGTCACAGAGCTTCAGCAATTCTGTCACTGCAACACAAACAAATTTTCTTAATGAATTCCCTTTTCTGCATAAAAAGTACAACCTGTATTGAACACAAATGTCTGCTGGAGGTATAGCTACAACAATAACCATACTTTTTTTTTTTATAACAAACCAAATGACTTTGTACTGTAGCAGATATTCACACTAAAATATAAATGAATAAAAAAACAGCAAGAGAGTTTTACCTTTCTTCTCTCTCGAGATTTTTCTGATGTCTTCCCTGAAATCTGACAGCACTGACAAATAGGGCATGACTGTGCTCTCCAACTGAAACAGAAACCAAAAGATTAAGTAGAGTTTAATGACAGATTAGTCATTATCTTTACAATCCACAAGAAAGCATTATTAGATTGAATCTTTAATAACATAAAGTCTAGCTTTGTAACATTAATTAAAAATAAAACCTTTGATGAATCAAACATGATCTGAGTGGTGTTGCTTACATCAGCATTCTGACCGTTTCCTCCAACAGGGAAGCCAATGGGCTCAGTTCCCTCAATTGCTCCAAATGTCTGTCAAAGTAGAAAACAGCTTTAGCAAGCACTTCACTGTGCATCCACAGTTTCAGTTCTGTCCCGACATCTCAGCTCATGCAGATTTCAAGAAAGGACTAGACATTAAGGTTTAATGTAGCAATTAGGGGAAGGATTACAGAGAATACAGAGGCCATGTCCACACTAATACGTTTTCGTTTGAAAATGTATATTTTTCTCTCCGGTTTGGCCGTCCGTCCACACTCAGACGGCGTTTTAAGTCAATGAAAACGTAGCTTTTGGAAAACGCTCTCCAAAGTGGATAAATTTGAAAACGCCGTTTTCGCGTTGTAGTGTGGACTATGAAGCCGGAGGTATTTGAAAACGATGACGTAAGTTTAGTCATGTGATCCATGTTGTACCAATAGATATTCATGTTTACCGGTATTGTGCCTGTTATGTGCTATTTACTTTCACACTGTTGCTAAAATATGTTACTTTGTACACTCTTCATATCACAGTCCTGCACAGATGACAGAAAATGTACTCAAATTTGCTGTCCTGCAGCAAAACATGAGAGCGGTTGCGTTTTAGACCAAACATATGGTGACTGAGTGTGACCTGGACGCATCAGTGATGGTGAGATATTTTGCTAAATAAAATTATCCTGTTAGAAGAATTGCGGGGGAACTTTATTATTTATTTTTCCATCTATTTTTCCATTTATTTGTATCATCTCGGTGAGCTTTTGTGAGGTTTCACACATGCTCAGTAAGGTGAATTTAGAAGTTTCTCATCTACACTGAAACGTCGGAAAACGCTAGTGTGGACGGAGAGCGTTTTTAAACGAAAACGCCGTTTTCAAATGTATCCGGATTAATGTGGACGTAGCCAGAGACAGTTGTTTGTTGCATCCAGGTTTCAATTATGTCAAAAGTCAAGCTCTGTTTTACAAAAAAAAATTTGTTGACATGTTACCTTAAGCATGTCGGTCAAGTACATGGCAATGCTCTCCAGCAGCATGCGGTTAGGCGGCAGTTTTGCACTCCTTCTGGCAGCCATGTAGGTGTTACTCTGACCAACGAGAGCCCGCATCTCTTCCAGAGCCGAACGAGTGTCTATGTTGTCACACAACGCCTCATGAACTGAGGTTTTCTTCTCAT